TTGTTCCGTGAAGGAGACCTTCCGATTGTCTACCCGTACCATATTGATCGCGAAAGTGAGCCCCATGACCACTACTAGTCGGGAGACAATGCACATGGTGATGCCCCACAGACAGAAGCCATTTTGCCATACCAGACTTACATTCAGCAGTTGGACGCCAATCAGCACAAAGATTATGGCCTCACAGATGGTCGCCGCCTCCTCGGTGATAGTGCGTACTGTGGTTACCGCCTTTCGGTTCATGTTGTCGAAGGCATAGGCAGCTTGTACCAGACCACAACCGATCATGGAGATGATGCCAGACCAGGCAACCATGTCGGCGATAATGTATGCAAAATAGCCCAGCAACAGGGTTACAGCAACCTCGTGTTTGATTTGAAAACGTGTGATGAGGCTGGTGAGAACACCGAAGAAAATACCAATCAGCAAGCCACCAATACTGATCGTAAAGAAGGAGACAACGCCCACAGCAATCTGTCCACCCTCTACCACCGCATGACTGCAAAATGCGCTCATAATGTTGTAGAGCACCACAGTGACCGCATCATTCAACAGCGACTCGCCGAAAACCATGTAGTAGAGACTCAGATCAACGCCGATATCCTGGAATGTGGCCAACACCGCCACCGGATCCACAGCCACGATGAGAGATGCAAACAGCAGGTAGACTTTGATGTCCATCGGGGGCACATTGGCGCCCATTGCACCCGCCACATCCAATCCGTACATGACAAAACCGATGATGAAGAAGTTGAGGATGGTGCCGCAGACTGCGTAGACCAGAATGATGCCCAGATACTCGCCAAAGGTGCGGTTATACAGACAGTAGGCGGACTCTAGCACGATTGGCGGCAGAAGGAATTCAAAAAACATCTCTGGATTCAGATTCCACATGGTGGTCTCGATGTCCAGACGGGAGGCGAAGCGTACAATGCAACCAATGCAGACGCCGAGCACAATCAACACCATTGATTCGGGCAGGAGTTCGGAGACGAAGCGAATGCGTCCATAGTAGGTTTTTATCAGGGCAATGCTCAGGACAAATAACATGGCAGTCAGGTGGTGGGAGAACTCCGAAAAGCGCCAGTTAGCCGCCATCACCGGCTTTGGGCTGACCGGCCGAGTCTCGTTACCCTGAGGTGAGGTAGCGTTTGAGGACGACGTAACATTCGCCGTGGCATCCCCCAGAGCAGGTAGTGAGAAGAGAAGAACAGGAAAAAGAAAAATCCTCATAGTGGCCACCAGAGGACTCTTTTGCTCTGCCCGCGCTTTTGCCCTTCAATTTAGTTGTGTGTGAGTTGTTCTCGATAATGGCTTCTTTTTGTTTTTAGGGGCTTCTTTTTGATGCATTAATTAATTTTGTTTTTGATAGAGTAAACCACCGAAATAGGGGGGACGAGTGGTCTTTATTTTATTAGTCAGTGTTCACGGTCTGGAGGAATGATGTCCTCTCTGCGGAGGTTTTTGTGGGCCTTCCGAATGCAAATCAGTTAAAGTC